CAGGAATTGTTTCTGGACCTATTGTATGAGAATAGTGTTATTTCTGTACAGAACACTGCAGGAAAGCAGGCAAATTGTTAACCCTCAACTCAGCATATAAGAAACACAACAAGATTTCAAGGGTTTCATAAAGTTGTGTTTAGTGGTAGGATAAAGGACATGTATATACAATAAGGTTAAACTTTTACTTATGGAAAGGTGTTACATTTGTGTTGGGAGAAATGCCTTTTACATGGCACAAAAAGTGTGCAGCTATTCAAGGGGCATTTTTTGCAGAACAGTATTGGCTGTTCCTTAAAAATTAGTGCGGTTCCTACCAGGAAGATGTGTCTTCTCCTGCACCAGTTTGAATGGGTGTGCACTTCTACCCCTTCTGCAGATTGAGGCTTCCCCAGTTTGTGAAACATTCAGGGGAAGGGGCATCTCCCCATGGCTTGGCTTGCCCCAGTCTGGGACCAGGATGAGTCAAACTGCCAGTGGCCAGTTCTTCCTTTCACTTCCACAGACCAAGGTCACTCTGGTCTGGGAAGGGGAAGGGGCATATCCTTTCCTTGGCCCTCCATATCTTCCATAAACTGGGGTCACCCTTATCTGTAGAAGGTGTGGGAGGCATTTCCCTATGAGAACTCTGCCCTTGGTTGCCAGCAAGGGTGAAGGGTTGGCTGCCGGGTGGAACACCTATGTGCTCATTCTCTTGTTACAATTCCAGTGCTGTGAATTTCTCAGAAATTTGGAATTGAACACTGTGGCAGTGCACCTTTTGATGCCTGCCACTTCAAGGGCTTAAGCAGGTGGCAGGCCCAATCAGGTGCTCACATGGCACCCAGGAAGCTGCCTGATTGGTGGAGGGCTGGGCAGCCTGTGTGTAAGACCAGGCCCTGAGAGCAGAGCTGGCCAGTTGCAACTGGGGAGCTGAAGGATGAACATTACTTGGCCTGAGTACTACTGCTCCCAGAAGAGCCAGAGGTTAGGGTAGGAACTATGGGGATGGGGATGGAGGAAGTTGCTGGTCCTGGGTAAGACCTGAAACTACACCCTGTTGGATGCTGGATGCTGTGGTAGGGCTGTCTGTAGTGGGGTAGTCTCCAGGAAATGCCACACCTGTGCCTCCACAGTGAAAGGTGAGGATGGGGTGCCCTATAGCCTCAGCCCCCACGACCTGGTGGGTTACCCCATAGAGGGGACAGGTTTGGGGTCCAGACACATTGACACACACCTGAGGCCTGAGTGGGCTGTAGGTCGAGTTTGGGATGCCTGAGGCCAGAGAAGGCCAGGGGCTGGAATTAGCCTAGAGTATGGGGTGGTAGGCCTGATGCCCCATTGTAGATTAGGGCCTGAATTGGGCAGCCTGAAGGTCTGAGAGGGATCAGGGCCAAGTGAGGGAGAGAGGAATCTTGAAGGGCTATATGGAGTAGGGCCAAGGGGGCCTGAAGGGCCATACAGAGTAGGGCAATGTGACTGAGGCTCAAGAATGGGGCAGAGCAAATGTGGCCCTATTGGGGGTAGTATGAAAGAGGCCCAGCACAAGGGCAGAGTTTGGCCCTGGAAAGGGCTATGTGAGTCAACTGTTTGGATGCCATCTGTGAGGCATGGGACATGGTGCAGGGGTGGTTCAGAGTGCTGCATTATGCCCTTGGCATCAGGGCATTAAATGGGCAGCCTCCCACCTAGGTACAGCTATTCAATTCCAACAAAAGTGTGGCAGGCGAGTCAGGTGTATGGACTGCCCCAGACAGGTGGGCAGGCCAGTGATTGGACTGGCCTCGAGATGGCCCCCCTGTGACAAATACCTCTCCCTAACCATAGTTTTCTATGTGAAATCTGATCTTAAATATAGCTGAAAATTTTGTACCTACACAGAATGCAGAGTCCCACTGTCTTCAGTGGGCTGCATCTGAGCAAGGGATCCAACCATAGATAATGGAATGAATGACTTGGGCCTTTATAGGTAAATCTGTTTGGCTGGAATCTTCTTTCTCTGTCCTTTCCAGAGAATGGAAAGCAGAAAAATTCAAAATAATATAGACCAGTATGAGAGTATCAAATCATTTAGTAGCAGGAGTGATAAAGAGGCTGGACATTATAACTTGGTTTGTGTAACTTGAAAATGGAGATTGCACTTAAATTCAGTGAAAACTATCCCTGCTTGACTGGAAGAAGGATTCAGAGAAAGGTGAAACAAATCATCCTAATCAGAATGCAGTCCCTGAGCAAAGCATATGTCAATATTCTCTGAATGAAAACAGTGAACAGGCATGCAGTGTGTAGAAAGAATTACAGCATTTCAAAATCTTAATGCACACACAGAGAGAGAGAGAGAGAGAGAGAGAAAGGGAAAATCCTGTTTTCTTTTAAAGGTGAACTGTCAGGTCAATATAAAACCCAAGTATAAATCTATTTTTAAGAGTGTTTGCAAAACTGATCAAAATGAATCCTAGACCAAATTTTGAAAACTTTACATTATTTTTATTGGACTGTATTCTTTCAGTTTAGTGGGTCAAATTCTAGCCTGATATGTGTTAATCAATGTGAGGAGTAATGATGTGGAACTGGAACCAGGCCCACTGTGTTTGGAAATTCGAAGCAGATAGAATTTTAGATGTATGGACAATTATGCTGGTTATATATTATGGTTTCATCCACTTCCCAGAATTCATTTTTGCTATTGATTGTATTAGTATGTTCAGCCCATTTATGCTGTCCAAATATATTTTTTTTCTTCATAGTATTTGTTTTCATATTTGTCAACACCTATTTGTGCATCAGTCTTTGAACTGCTGACCAGCTGCCTTCCTTCTAGGTAACATCATCTTTTGTGTATATTCTAGTGGTTGTCTTTGGTATACAAAGGCACTTGGTTACTTTATTTAGATATCTAACCTGGGATCAGATTGAGCCTTCAAGATCAGCCCTTTGCAAAGGTAGATTATGGCTATACTGCTGTAGAAGGAACACTGAGTAACAATTCCTTTCTTGCTCCTCCCTTGCTCCCAGGAAAAATAATGATTGTAGCTCTTCCTGTGTCAGTTTTAGGGACTGAAGTCAAAACCTCACTCGTTCTTTCTCTCTCCAGCTCCTTTCGGACACCTGCTTAGTTGGGGAAGGGAATTCTGGCACAATGATGAGAGATGTACTAACAGGGTCATATGTGGAGCATAGGAAGGCTCTTTCTGTTTTTCTGAAGGTCTCTGGATTAGAGAGCAGAGGGGTATAAGTATTCTGACAGCTAACCCTTCATTGGTATCTGAGGATGTTAGTGGCCTGTGGGTCAAAAGAGAGCAGCAACAGGGATGAAATTAAGCTACTGCTACTGGAGGGCAAGCAAAGTAAATAAAGAGGGTTTACTAGATTTTAGGGTAGATGGGCAGTGCTGTTAGCATTAAGAAGAAATATCCAAACCTTCATAGACCAATGGTTCCTGGTCTGGCGTGCCATGGATTCTACTCACACATTTTACATAGCTCTTGTCAATGTAATGAGAAGCTGCCCTGGAAACAGGGTGCACTAAAAAATCTCATAAAACCAACCAAACAGAAAAACAGTTGCTATTGCAGATGTGAGAGTTTATGAGATTTACATAGGGTCTCATTAAGCACTGAAATTTTTGGCTGCTACTCTGTACCAGCCTGCAGAAATTCCTGCACCACTGTTTTTAAAGTTGCACGACTTCAGGCACTGTCACAGAGCTTGTTATCTTTTGAAACATAGAATTTTACCTTGGGAAGGACAAAAACCAAACTTCTTCATACTCCTGAAATGGTCTGCATTTCATATTTCTACAAATTTTTCCAGTTTTAAAGAACATCACTTCTCTATCAACAGCTTTTGAATGCAACAGCTTCAATAAACAGGGCCCAAGATAAATGAAGAATCATAAAAGGCTGTTTTTTCCCCCTTTGCATGGGTTAAGAAGTTGGGGGGGGAGGGGCATGTACTGTTATTTGAGCTTGCTGACTTGAAACACAGCTGTACCTTGAAGGAGAAGAAACTCTTGGGGTGGTAGGGCCTGCCACAGACTGTTTTCCTTGAGTGTGCTTTAGAAACCAAAAGATGTCATGTAGTGACATGGTGGATAAAGTGCATTTGGGTAGATTTCTAAAAGCTGCAGGAGCTATTTTACTTTTCCTTTGGCAGGCTCAGGAGAGTTTTCTCAAATTCAGGGAGGTGGTGAAATTGCCTTCAAATGTCAAGTGCCAGGTGACAGTTCACTGCAAGGTCTTTTTTTATTAAGCAAACATAGGAGTCTTTACTCCTGTAGGTCATTCCCTATTTATGACAGCTGTGTGAAAGATGGAAATTTGTTTCCCAAAGGATTTTAATCTTTGGCTTTGTTTTGAATTAGTACAAAACAACAACATTTCAAAATTCTTCACAAATACATTTTTTTCCATATCGATTGACCTAATATGCTTTTAAAAAACTTTTAATGTTATATTTTATGTTCTATTGTAATCTATAAAATGAAATTAAAATGTTTCAAAATGAAAAAAAAAATGAAATATTTCATTCCAGTATTGTATAAACATCCCACTTCAATATTCTTGGACTCATCTTCTTCCAGCTCATCTCCAAAACAAATTTTCAGTGAAAACTACATGAATTCATCTAGTATTTTGATGTTGTCAGAACTGAATTTTCCAATGATAGAAGGCTTTACTGAAGTTTTTCTGGTTGGCTGTATTGCTTATGTTTATTGTACAGGTACTCCTCACTTAATATTGTCCTGGTTAATGTTGTTTTGTTATTACATCGCTGATCTATTAGAGAACATACACGTTTGAAGTCACGCGATGTTTGGTTATAACGTTGTTTGGCTGCCGCCTGCTAGTAGGTAACTACTGTGACATAATTGGATTTGCTTAACATTGTTTTTCTTAAAGTTGCATTTTTCAAGAACGTAACTACGACGTTAAGTGAGTAGCTGCATAAAAAAAAGTCTGCAAATCCGTCTGCAAATTCTGCCATTTATATATTGTATTAATATTTATTTTCTTTTGCAGGATGCTTTTGAGATACTGGCTGAAAATTGTGAGTTCAGAGAAAACAGACTAGGTTGTTTGGAATTCTTGAGAGCAGCTTCTGTGCTGAAATTCCTTCCATTTCCTATAGTAAAAATGAAGAATATAGAAGGACTGCCTTGCATGGGAGACAAAGTCAAATGTGTCATTGAGGTAACATTAGCGATCTCTGTGCTAGATGCTTCTTTTACATTTTTTAGAAATATCAATGAGAGAGACTGAGTTGATGTGCGTATGTGAAGACCAGTATGTATGTCTCCTGTAATAAGGTATAGGCAGAAGGTAGGGCAGGAGGGCACCTTAGCCCATAAATAGACATTGCATTTGCCGCAGGATTCTACAGATGTACAAATGTTTTGTTCTACTTCAAATCTGTCTGCAGTATGCCATATAAAGTTCGCTGAGACTTTTCCTGAGACGAGGCTGTGTGCGCATCTGTAGAGTTATTGCAGGCCATGCCAGAGGCAAGCCAGCCAGGCTGTGCTCTCCCTCGCCATCTACTGGCAGAGGAACAGCAGTGACAGGTGAAGTTTATAAATGGCTCAAGTCGTTTATTAACCTCAACTTTACAACTTTCACTGCTGAGATGCACCCGTTTTGATCTGGGCCAAACCCTGGGAAAAGCAGGCCTGTCTCAAATGTTTATAGCCTTTGAGACTTAGCTAGTTTAGGGAGGCATGAGCTTTCATAGGCAAACACCTACTTTGTTGGATCTAGCAATGGTTTTAGGCTATGAAATATTTTACTACCATAGACTCAGTAACTTCTGGAAAGTTTTACAATAATTTGAATTTAAATCTATGATTAATATGACATGCCACAAAACTTCCCAAATGAATTAAGGTGGTCCAGGAATTTTTGTTATCATTATTATTGATACTAATGATAAAAAATGCATATGTCATTTTAAAAAACCCACTCTCTCTAATTTGGATGTAACAGACTTCTCTGGCAATATTGGTTAGCTTAGCCTGATGTGATTTAACACAGAAGATGGTCTCATGCTTCAAGGCTTTTGCTGGTCACCTGTTAGCCAGGGATTTTTCCCCTCTTATGATTGTGGCTGGCTTCTGGGGCTGCTTTTTTCTGGCCACGGTTAAGGCTCACATTTTTGTCTGGGGTGTTACTACATTCCTGTCAATACTTTAAGACCTTTGAGGTTACTGACAAGAGGGTCTTGCTGTCACGATGCTGATCCCCAAATTTGGGGCCAGGAAGGGATTTTCCCCTGAGGTCAAACTGTCAAGGACTGTGGGGACTTTTGCCTTTTTCTGTAGTGTGGAATATGGTCCTTTTTGCAATACTCTTGTCTGGTAGCTTTTACCTGTGGCATGTTGTAGGGTGTTCTTCATGTTTCTGTGTTTTGCCTTGTAGTTCTTTGTGAAAGTTTGAAATGGCCATTTTGGGCAATACTTGGGTAAATGATTGCTTGTAAATGCAGAGGACCGCATATTTTGACCAAGGAAGCCCCTTTGAGTCCTATGTTCCCAGGTCCTATCCCTGTGGAAATGCTATTTTAGCAAAACCCATAAACAGTTTAGTAATGTGATGATATATTTTGACTTACTTCTAGTTGTACATGATTCTTTCATATAGGTGAAGGACAAACTGTACATTCTTGCTGAAATCCCTCTTCTTTTGGATTCATAATAAGTTTGGCTCTTTCAGCACCTTGCAGACATTTAGCATCGCAGTAGACATTTGAGCAGAATGACTTACTTGTGTGGAGAAGTTACTCTTGTGATTCACTTGACTCCCCCTTCCTTTTTCCTTTCTTTCAGAAGTTGACAATATAACCTCTACAGTGCGCTTAGTCCCTACTGACCTAGAGACTGGGAGTTTGAGTATAACTCCAGGCAATAGAAAGGAGAAAGATTGGAAGGACTGTATACAGAGCAAAAATATACCCACTGCTACTATAACTCTTTCTTTTTTAAAATGAATACGTTTAATCAAATACAGAATAATGACATATGCAGTCTACTCTGCATAATGAAACAACTGCTTTCCAATTGATGATTTATTTACTAGGAATAATGGCCTTAAGTTGATTGAGAGTAGGTTCAGGCTGGACATCAGGAAGCACTACTTCACAGTCAGGGCAGTTAGGAGCTGGTACCAACTTCCAAGGGAAGTGGTGCTTGCCCCTACCCTGGGGGTCTTCAAAAGGAGGCTGGATAACTGAGGACCTCAGATAGCCGAGGTCATTGGACCCCAGCATTCTTTCCTGCCCATGGCAGGGGGTCGGACTTGATGATCTGCTCAGGCCTTCTGACCCTACCAACTATGATGAGTAATTTCTTGATTACAGACCCATTTCTTTATAATGTGAAATATTTTGGATGGTTCAAACCTTTACACCTTTCCTGAATTAGTGAGATTTTTTTACTTGAATAAATATTGCAGGATTTGTTTGCAAATAAATAAAACTATTTTGTTCACCAAAAATGCTCTGTTTGTGCATGTGTGCGTGTGCATGTTTGGGATATGAGTGTTCACCTGCTGATATGACTTCCTACTGTACTATTGGAATATTAAATTAAAGATAAATTAATTTAAAATCTTTATTCTAAAAGTACTCTATTCTTCTCCATACAGGAAATACTAGAAGAAGGAGAGAGTTGTCAAGCTAAAGAAATATTAAATGATGAACGATACAAATCATTCAAAGTAAGTATATCCTCTTCGTAATTTTGTCATAGTAGCTATAATATTTGTTTGATCACTCTTCACTGAATCGTGCCATGTACATTATTGTAAAGGGGCATCCCAAGTATTAAATTATCAATATTAAGGAAAGAGTAACTTAGTAAAAAAGAAGCTGCATAGTAGAAAGAGATTTGTTCTGAAATCAGCTATCTTTCTAATTAATGTGATACATATGTAATTGGTATTGAACTTAAATTAAGGAGTAATTTTCTCCTGAAAAACAATGTAACATATACTCTTTTCTGGCTTAGGTTTAACCCAATATTATTCTGCTTCATTAGTCATGATTGTCACAACCAAGTCTTATTCTGATCTTGGAAAAATGTCAGGCTGAGGATGATGACTAAGAGCTATCTTTAATTCTGGTGAAATGTGCCTCCCAGGAAAAAGGAGGGGAAGGATGGAGGGATAATTTTGTCAGCAGGCATTTTCTAGTTTCACAAGCAAAGTGACAGTTCTGCTTGGGATACAGCACAGCACAGAATCAGATGGGGTGGTAGAGGAGTTCCCACCTACTAAACTTTCAGTGCTTCTTCCACCACAGGAACTCTCAGTTTTTTCAGTGTTTTATTGCTGACAAAATTTGATATGGTGCATGTGTATTCATGCATAACCTTCTCTCTTGCATATAGTGCAAATAAGGAAACCTAGTTTCTTTTTTGCTAGCAATTGCCTATGCTTCTTGCTACGGATAAACTCAAATGCAAACACAAGCTTTATTTTAATTAAGAGAACATTATAAAGACAAAGACAAAGCAGATAATCTATAATTTTGAGACTAGTACTGGTTATTAATGTTACGGGTAAAACTCTTATTGCACATAATCAGAAAAAGGTGATGAGAAAGCCTGGATTATGGAAAACAAGAGAATCTAAAAGGCTGAGATTGTTTAATTTAGGAAATAAATAAGAGGGAATGATCTTTATCTATAGAAAAGATCTTCTGTTTTCATAATACACAAATAAATGGGCATTCAGTGACAGTTGCTGAGATCAAGAATATAGCAGGAGTCAAAACTGGAGTGGATATATATATATATATGTGTGTGTGTGTTTACATACGTGTATACACACATACACACCATTTTGATTTTTTTTATATATAGTTTAAACAAATATATATAAACAAAATATATACATAATGCATGTGTGTGTGTAAAAACAAAATCTGGGGTCCAGAGTTGTCATAATTTATCATGATAAAAATTTAGGATAAGGTATTAGGGTATTTCAGGCTTTGGGGGTTAAAACAAACTTTTTAGAGACCAGAATAAAACATTATATAGGGAATGGATTACCTCACATTTGCCTATCATGGGGTTCTTGCATCTTCCTGTGATGCATCTGTTATTGGCCACTGTCAGAGACAGGATACTGGGCTAGGTGGACCTTAGGGCTGATCTAGTTGGGCAATTGCTAAGCTGTTGTGACCAAACTTGCGTCTCCTTCAGATTTAAGTTCATGCTTTAGACATTTTCAGTAATATCTTCCTAAAATAACATTATAATGAACATTCTGTGATCATTACATCAGTGCTGTTAAATGTGCATTTTGTTACATGCAAAAAACCGATGGTAATTCAATACACTGCACTGTTAAAAATCATACACAGTTAGCAAATGTCACGAACAATGGGTATATCTCACACTTCACAATATAAATGGTGATTACCCAGTGAGATACACACGTAAGGACAACTCTGACCATAAATAGTTACAAGTAACTCTCACTGATCTGACAGGGTGCTACAAAGAAATGAAAATAGTGACTGGCTTTTAATATAGAACATGAAGAATAAGAACTCTTTTATACGTATGTGAATATGGACACCCAGAAACTGATGGGCATTCAGTTCAGACCCTTCTGAAAATCCTGCCCTATGGAAATTTGTAGACAATTGGTTATAGTTCCTTTTAAAATTATATTTCATTGGAGGCCATAAGTTTTCAGGTTTATGTAAACCTTAACTTGCCTAGATACCAATGTGATAGGCACCTTAGAAATATCTTACATGGAAAATGTCAGAGCATAACAACAGCTAAGCATAAGACAGTAGAAGCGTGGGCTGCTTTGCAAATGTCTATATCCATACTGCTCCAACAGTGTATCAGTCCTACTCTACAGTAGTGCTGTAATTTTAATGGGAGCTTCTGTTGCATGCAGACTATCATGTTGAATAGTTCCCAGCTGTGTGGCAGTTTTGTAATACACAGAAATGTTTACTGAGAAAAAGGATGAGGCTACAAAAATTTGGTGAAACTCTGATTCTGAATTTGTATGACTAATGCCAGAATTTTAAACTAGGTCTCTAGAAGTTAACTGCATGAGCCCAATAGGCTTCTTAGCCTGGTAGGATTTTTTTTTATTGTAAGCAAACCAAGCATTATATAAATATGAGTTTTTTAATGTTACCAAATTGCAGCAACTTTGAATATATGAATGACAACAAACATTTGGAGAATAATTTTTCTCATTACTGAGACTGTAAAAAGTGAGTCAATATACAGTGACTTTTACCACCAGAAATCCAGCAGTAACAATAAATACAGTATCAGGAATGGGGTATCTATTACACAAAAAAACCTTAGGTAGTGAATTTTGTGCATCTAACTTCACTGAGCGCTAAAGAATTGCAGTTTATAGTGAATAAAAAGTTAATTTTGTTTTTTTCAAATGACAGTAGCTTAGAGTCCATTTTCTATAGATCTCTAACCATTACACAGAGTTAATAAAGTTTCTTGCAATTGTTCTGGAACCAATAATGGCCCTTTTAGAAAATGCAGAGCTAGCAAAAACATTAAAAGATAAGAATCTAAATGATTTTTTAAAATAAGATTAAAAATAATTATATTCTCTCATAAACACCCATGCTTCAGACAAAGTAATTTCATCCATTATATACACAAAATCTAGTGTAATTCCTATTTAATATTATCCAAGATTTTCATCCTTCTTTATTCTTTATCTTAATTACTTCCAAAGAATTAATCTCATTAGAAAAACACAGGATACAGCTAGTATGGTCTAAATTCAAAGGCTGCAGATCCAATAGAAAGGCACAATTATATGTGGCTTGTACAGCTATTCATCAAAACCCTATGAATGTGCAGTGCAACTGTTGAGAGATACAGTATTGACAAAATGAGTATAAAGAACACATTTTGGGAGAGCAAGGAGGTTTTCTTCTCCACTTTTCATGTCACTATCCACCTGAGATATTGATCCACTGAACACTGCTTACATCTTTGACATATCTGCTTTGATTTGTTTCTTGGAACAAACTTGGTATTCAAAATTATCTTTGAATGAATGGAAGCAAAACATACTAAAATCCCAATGCCAGTGACTCGGGGTTTTTGTTTTTGGTGAATAGTAATTTCATCAAGAAATATGATGCTGGATATTTGAGATCTGTTTGTGAAGTTGACCAGATTGTGCTGAATAGCTTTAGCTGAAAAAAACATTGGGGATCTAAATTCACAAAAGTGCCGGTGCTGAAGATATCTTTTTTTATCTGATAGCTCAGGGGTTAGAAAGTTCACCCAGAAGAGGGGTTCAGTTCCCTTTGCTGCCTGACAGGATTTAAATACATATACCCTAGCTGCCAGCAGGCTTTGGAGCCACCTGGATTCCAGTCTGTCCTGGAGGAGCATCTAATTATTTATACAAAGAGTTGGCCCTTTCCAAAGAGTTAATGTCCCCTTTGAAAGAGGAAGGAATTGAACTTATTCCCCACAACCTGGGTGAGTGACCTAACCCCTGGGCAATCAGATAAGAGGGACACCCCCTTCTGTTTTGGCAGTTCTGGGAATCTAGCCCTTTACTTTTCTTATGATTGTCTAAAATGAAACTATTTACTTTGGATTGAAAGACTTTTTTTTTAGTTTTTGCTTTGATCAGAGGGGAAAACATAAATTTTGGTTTGGACCAAATTGAATTTGTTTCAGGTTTTTTGGCAGCCAGCCACTCTGAAAAACCACTTATTCATTCAGAATTAGTGGGTGTATCTAAATGAGATACTTACTGCCGAGTTGCCTGATTAGCTCGGCAGTAAAGTGTCACTGTCTACATGAGCTGTGTTATTAGGCCAGAGTAAACTAATTAACTCTGCCATAGGATAGTACTGCCCAACACAAGTACTATTCTACAGCGGCTTATTTACTCTGCTGCAGCACACGTGTAGACAGTGATGAGGGTTGGCCGGGGCACAAGGGTGCTACAGCGTGGAGCAGCCTGCCAGTTAGCCTTGTATTGTAGCACCCTTGTGCCCCAGCCAGCCCCTCCCCAGCACATTCTGCTGGGCAGAAGCAGCCCTGGGCTGGCAGACTGACCCCCTGGTCCCTTTGCCAGCCTGGGCTGCGCCATCCTGGCTCAGCCTTCTGTGGTCCCTGGCACTTGTGTAAATGCTGAGCCTGGGAGCAATAAACTGTGTGAACTGAGCTGGAGTTTATTGCATCAGATTAATTTATACGTAGATGCACCAAGTGGCTAGTTTCATTTTACGTACAGATTGATAGGCCTTACCCAGGAGTGAATGATGCAAATATTAATGTTTTTATAAATGAAGCAACCAAATCCTAAAATGAGATTCTCCTATTCAACTTTCACACCATTATTATTTATGAATGTAGGTGTCTTTGAGCAATCAGAGAGATAACCATCTGCTTTGTAATTAGTGAGGACAGTAGAAAAACCTAGGAGTAGAAAGCAACGTATTAAATGGCAGCACTACTACACAGATAAAAGAAGAAGGCAGGTCATGAATGAAAGTGAATGTGACTTAAAATCTGGTGTTTCACCTGAAATTGCAAAGCTAAGCAGTCTAGCTTGTGTTAGTAGTTTACCTTGATTCTCTCTCCTGACACTGACCTTGCTGAGTAGTAATTGTAATAATTTATATCACATACAACTTTTAATAATTCATTCCCCTTTTGTTCTTTTTCAAAAATCCATATTGTTTT